TAATTTTTTTTTGCAGCCCTCGTAGATTTCGAGATAAGGTATAGGCCCCTCTTAAACGGGCCACCCTGTACAACTCGTGCAATGGAAATATATTTTCAATTTTTGACAAATTTGCACTCATGCGTTTTTGATAGAAATGGGCACTGAAAAAGCACTGGTGCTCCTTTTTAACTAAAAATGCATCCGGGCAAATTTCCCAAAAATTATCGACAATTTCCATTGCACTCGACATTTAGAATTTCATACATCTGTCAAAACTGACATTCCAACAATAAACTGACATGTTTTGATTGTTGATTTACGTTTTATGCGTGTATCAAACGTCAAATTATTGAAGCAATGTCAAAAAAGAGCGAATCTCGCGCAAGTGAGAATTAGGCTTCACGCGATAATTGGCGCGACACTGGTGTTTTAACATTTTTTGACAAAAAATTTAAATTTTTGATTCATGAAATTCTCTCATAAAAGCTCTTTTCGGGTTCGAAAAAAGGACGGTTCTAGAACGGTTCAAAACAATCGCACAGTTCATCAATCAACTAAATGACAACGGTTCAGCTATCACAAACTTCAATAATAAACTGTGCGATTGTTTTGAACCGTTCTAGAACCGTCCTTTTTTCAAACCCAAAAATAGCTAAAATACAACTCAAGCAATGGAATGTTTAATCTTGGATTAATTTCCAAGCTGGTGTCAAATGATAGTTCATGGAAAACTCAGATAAGAATGTATGATCGGTTTAGCTCTAAAATCAACCGTTGAGGTTTTAAAGCCTGTCAAAGTTGCAAAAAAGTTAATTTTCAACTCTTATTATTTCCGAAACAGTTGAAGATAGGTATAGGATATGATACATTAAATAAGTTCAGAATGTAACGTAGAAATAAGAAATGAAATTAAAAAAAATCCTGTACAGTTCACACCCGGTAGAAGTGAAACCTTCATCGAACTGCATGCATTACACACATACTAACATACACAGTGGCGTCCCCCCCTCCAAAAGACTTGAGAAAGAACGCAAATAAATATAGTTTGAAAAAACTAAAATACACGCTGGGGTGCTTTTTTCCACATTTTTATACATTGAGCACCCCACGCTTTTTTGACAATAATTCTAATATTTTTTGTTCATTAATATTTTCTGTTTCTATTAAAAATTATTTTTCACTTTTTAGTTCAATTTACTATAAAAGCGTGTTTTTTAGTTTTTTTAAAATACATTTATTTTTCACTTTTTAGTTCGATGTATTATAATAGCGTGTCAGCCCCAGAGATTTCCAGACATTTCGAGACATTATCCAGACTTATTCAGAGCTTCCCAGAGTTTTCCAGATTCCATCCAGATTTATCCAGACTTGTACAGACTGATCCGGATTCTGGAAAATGATCCCCAGGTCTTTTGGGACCTTTTCCAGAATTTTTCCGACCCCTTCAAGAAATTTCCAGGCCTTTTCCAGACGTTTCCAGAGATTTCCAGACATTATCCAGACTTATCCAGAGTTTTCCAGACTTCATCCAGATTAATCCAGACTTTATCCAGATTTGTTCAGACTGATCCGGATTCTGGAAAATGATCCCCAGGTCTTTTGGGACCTTTTTCAGAATTTTTCCAACCCTTTCCAGAAATTTCCAAGTCTTTTCCAGATGTTTCCAAACTTTTCCAGACAATATCCAGACTTATCCAGAGTTTTACAGACTCAATCCAGATTTATCCAGACCTTATCCAGACTTGTACAGACTGATCCAGATTCTGGAAAATGATCCCCAGGTCTTTTGGGACCTTTGGCAGAATTTTTCTGACCCTTTCCAGAAATTTCCGGGCTCTTTCCAGACGTTTCCAGAGAATTCCAGACATTATCCAGACTTATCCAGAGCTTTCCAGAGTTTTCAAAACTTCATCCAGATTAATCCAGACTTTATTCAGACTTGTTCAGACTGATACGGATTCTGGTAAATGATCCTCAGGTCTTTTGGGACCTTTTTCAGAATTTTTCCAACCCTTTCCAGAAATTTCCAAGTCTTTTCCAGACGTTTCCAGACTTTTCCAGACAATATCCAGACTTATCCAGAGTTTTACAGACTTAATCCAGATTTATCCAGACCTTATCCAGACTTGTACAGACTGATCCGGATTCTGGAGAATGATCCCCAGGTCTTTTGGGACCTTTGGCAGAATTTTTCCGACCCTTTCCAGAAATTTCCAGGCTCTTTCCAGACGTTTCCAGAGATTTCCAGACTTTTCCAGACTTCATCCAGATTTATCCAGACATTTTCCAGACTTGTTCCAGCTCACTTGGCTTGTTCCAGGTTCTTGTTGTGTGTTAATATAAGCGTGTTAAAAAAGTGTCATGTCGCTTTTTCGTTTCATGGAGTCTCACATCACTCCCAACGATTCTAAAGAAGTTTTCACTTCAAAATTAATGTTTTGATTTAAAAAAATAAAGTTAGCGGTCACAACTTGTTTCTGGGTCACCCTGTATACATGATATTACCATCAGAAAAACGGCAACTGAAATCAAAAATCGATGTGTCCGAGGTTTTCATGAGCAATCTCACCAATGTTTATTATTTTTCTAGGTTTTCTGGAAGTTCTTTATGTAATAAACGAATAAACATCATCTCTCCCACCCTCGTAACTACGCCACCTCACTTTTTTTTTGTGTAAACATTTCAAGTATCTATTTTGCTGTATTTGTATAGGTAAATTTTATTATCTTTGTAATATATTTTTGTGTTTCCGCACATTTCATTTTCCACATTCTTATTTGTTAAATAAAAAGCACAATGTAAATTATAAAACTATTATTATAACTGTATACTTTTTAATTTAGATTAAATATGATAGGTGTATTAGTTTTGCCTCCACAAAAGCCCATAGGATTTATTATTCACCTTCCATGCAATTTGATCACACCCTTCCGTTATCTCGGAAATATTTGTCGTAACGTCGTCTATCACGGTCCTACTTTGAACTCGGCGACAAAGAATGAATTTCGCGCGCTTGAATTTGTTGTTGGCCTCTTAAGGGGATGAGTTTGCTAGAGAAGATTTTTTTAATATTTTTAAAGAGGGATTAATTTGCACACAGTTAATTTTTTTTGTTATATTTGTATTTTTGTAGACAAAAAAGTGATCGCCTGTGTAAGGCTAATGGTGGAACATCCATTTTTTTTTCCCAAAAAGATATGGAAAAACAAACTTTTCAAACACCATTGAATTTGTAATTTCATGAGCTTCTCAAAAATAAAAAAAAATATAGGGGTTCCATTTGAAAAAAAACCTGTATACCCCTAAAAACTAAAATTTCCCCGAAGGAAGTGTCCCCCCGCTGAATGGGGGTGAGTTACAAAAAAAGTTGATTAGGAAAAATTGTAGGAAATGTCATCTTATAAAACTTTTATTAAGAAAATTTTTTTGTAAAATAATAAAAAAATGTAAAACTACCTCTATTGAAAAACGGCAGGGGGTGAGTAAAAACTTCATAAAGCAAAAATGTTGTATGTGTTGTAGAAAATATTTTCACGTTGGTTGAAATTTTTCATTTTCATTATAAAATTTCAAACGGCCCTTTTGACCACAGACGGCCCTTAAACAAAAAAGCCTTTAGATAAACATTGTATATCAAATAATGTTGCACATCTTTTATTTGAAACATTTTTTTGTAAAATCAATAGGTACCAAGTAATCGCCAATGGCGCACTTTCAACCCCTATAGCACAAAACGCCAGAGGGGTGAATGTTTGATGTTTTCGGTTTTATGATCACCCACCCTCCCCCTATCATCCCTGAAAAGTTCTTTTGGGTAGGATTTTTTTTTTTTTTGAAAATCGACAATTTTCCTAGACTATCGTGTGGAAGCCTGACAACACTAATGAGACGCCAATATTCTAAATTAATAAGAGCTTGAAGGGAAAAACTTCAATAATCGACACATTTGATCAAGAGGTTCTTTGAAATAAAAAAATTATTAGGCTTAAAGTAATCTAAGTCATCCATCTAAATAATACAATTACTATAGATCCGTAAATCCTAATTCCAAAACAACATTTATTTGGTTCAAAGTACCAGAATCATGGATACGAGACCTATTTCACGTGAATGTTATTTCTTTCAATCAAACTCATAAAAATCAAATACATTTGATAAATTATTCAAATACTTCAGTTTCTTCCAATTAAATAAAGTGTGTTAAACATAAATATATTTCGTTTAGTTAGCAAGAAAAATTAAATAAATATTTATTATATATATTTTAAGAATTTTTTTTCATTGTACATACACACTATTGCACTATTGATGTGTACAGACCTTTTAAAGGTCACCATACAGGGTGTCTCCGTTCAACTGGTCAAAAATGCTAGATATGTATAAAAGAACTATAGAGAAGTAATTTGAGATAGGACACCGATGGTCGGAAGTGCGTCGTTTCCAAAATACAGGGTATTGAAATTCAAACAATCCCATTTCATATCATTTGGAGAGCTAATGCTAGGCTGTTCAAATTTCCAGGGATTATCGGTGTAGGAATGATATTTTAAATTTTGTATAATGCACCCCATGTTCTGCCTGGAACCACCCAGAAATAAAAATAAAATTCCAAACAAATTGCTTTTTTTTTCAAATTTTATTTTTGGATGGTTCCAGGTAGAAAATGGGGGTGCATTATATGAATTTTTGAATATCATTCCTACATCACTAATCTCTGGAAATTTGAACATCCTGGCATTCGCACTTCAGATGATATGAAAGGAGGTTGTTTAAATTTCAACACCCTGTATTTTAGAAAGGACGCACTTCTGACCATCGGTGTCCTATCTCAAACTACTCTATGGGTCCTCTTTATACCCTAGCATTTTTGACCAGTTAAACGGGGACACCCTCTGTATATTCAACTTTTCAAGTTGTAGATACAAAAAAACAATACTTTTTAAAACAAAACAACAAGGAATAAATATGTAATAATTTCGAGTGTGATAACCAAGTTATTGATGACTTGCATGTAGCTTTATTCACTCTCGTCTGAGTCCAATCCATCCTCCATTTTAGGAAATACTTCATTTGATTTATCTTGGTCATAGTTTTCCGATGATTTAGCATCTTTTGTTTTCTTTTTGGGACCATAAAGTCTGGTATGACTATGTTTTAGGACTGCATCTCTGAAAAACGAATCCCTTTGGGCGTAGGTGAAGGAGCTATCTGCTATCGAAACTGTTCTATAAAAGACGTCCAGTAAGTTAGTTAGTTTGTTGAAAGCTTGCTTTTGAGTGGTCCTACTCAATCCAGTCCACGAGTATTTTGTCAGAAGATCTTTTGTGATTAGCGTGCCACATACTTTGTAGCATGCCGATTTCCAAGGCATTCCGGTACCAACAATTTTCGAGAGGTGTCCAAATACTTTCATTTCAAATTCTTTATTTTCCAAATCTTTTTCTAGTTTTTCTAAATCGCCAACGTTTCCAATGGGAAACATCTGCATCTGCGCATCAAATTTAGCTTTTGTCAACGGCCAATTATTTGAGCATAACATTTCTACCAGCCTGTCAATTTTAATGTTTATCTCTGATATTCTTTTTTCACAATTGCTTTTCCCTAAAAAAAAAGTAATTGTCAGACAATCGTCATTTTTCAGATCTCTTTTTATTTGCTGCTTCTGAACACCGCATCCAAAGTTATTTGGAAAAAAAATTGGAAGGGTATTTTCTTATTCCTGATCAATTTCCAAGTGCACATAGGTAGGTATAAAACTATCTGGACATAAGTGTAATTAAATTGCATTCAAGTAGGTACGTACTTACATTCTTTTACTAATCTTGCTACAAATTCTTTCATAGGACGGTGTTATGTTCTGATCACTAGACACTCGACAAAGGTTTTTAGTAATGTTTTCCAAAACTTCTTCTACATAATCGAATGGTTTTGATACAATTAAACATCTATAGCATCCACTCTGTAAGGCATTCAATTTGTTTACGCTTCCTATTTCTATTTTCTATTATTACTTAAATTTCATTTTTCATTCAGATTAAAGCAACCTTAATCCAGATGCCAACGCCCATGGAATAGCAACGACATAAACCAACGCGGTGAGTACTTACTTGATTTCAATATCACTAATAACCTAGACATTCTGCATCGGAGAACTAAACCTACTTTTCTAACAAAAAATAGGCAAGAAAGAATTGATGTAACTGGAGGGTAGATGATGAACCGAGTCTCCCGGATCATGAGTACATTCAAATGGAAGTCAAACGTATTGATATTATGTTACGTGTTTATATTACGTTATGCTAGTCCTGAACCGGCAATTGGCACCAAAAATTCTTCGGTAAGAACAAACATAAACCAATGGGTGTATAGTCAACACCAAACTCACTGGCAAACTCTTTCGAAGCTGAGACACAGTAAGCTAATGGTGCAACAACCATCACCCAAACTTACTGAAGAAATCCTACAACTAAACAGGAATCAAATCAGGCTAATAACTCGACTCATTACCGAACACTGTAGCCTGAGAAAACACCATCACAAAATGGGCATCCTTCACGAAGAACCCATATGCAGTCTTTGTAACGAGGAGGATGAAACCGCCACCCACGTATCTTCGAATATGAGGCTTTAGGCTGGTGGAGATATAGACAGATAAAGCCAGAAAACCCTATCTCTAAATTCACCAAAAGCCACACGGTGAAGAGGCTCCCAAACCTACTCAAGGTCACGAAACATTTCACTGACTAAACAGACGAACAGCATAATACAATAAGCCGATGGCTGCATCCCAACCAACCAACCATACCCAATCCATAGATTTGTATTCGAGATTTCCTATATTCGTAGGTAATACCATAAGAGCTCAGATTTAGCCGGATATTTTTTGGCTTGGTCCCGAATACTTACTTTTAGGAAATTTAACGAGAGCTGTTCCGACAAAATCACGAGAGCGCAGCTCGAGTGATTTTGTGGAACAGATCGAGATAAATTGCATGAAAGTAAGTATGAGAGAGCAAGCAAAAAAATATCCTGCTCAAAATCTGAGCTCGAATGGTATTTAGTACGGCAATTCCACGAATGCATAATCAAAATAAAATATGGAAATATTTACTTTTTAAAATGAACAGTTATTGAAGGTACAATTAGAATAAATATTTTGCCCCTTAAAATTTGACTCTACAGAAAGAGAAGAAGACTGTGTTCTCAGGAATTGAATTTTCTATTTCGCTATTAATTCATCTTTAATTGTCCCAAATCGCTGCATGTTGAAAATATTTTTAATTTTATTTAAAAATACACTTTTAATAAGCTAAAATGATAGAACTTGTGAATTTTTGTGACAATTATTTGACAGATGATTCAAAAATCAATTTTATATGCAATTGTTACTATGGTAACGATTGCATCAACAGAAAAAATATCCGATTTTTTTATCCAGTTATATTTTCTCTTCCTTCCTATTTATCCGCTTACAAACTACGATTTTTGACATTTCAAATGGGATTATTTATACATGAGTGGAATTGCCAGATATATTTCATCTATAAGATCTTGTAAAATGCTTACTACTGTACCTATTCTAGTGATGGTGGGTTCAAATCCTGACTCGAGTTAGATTTTTTCAATTATATTTAATTTTTTCATTGTAATTTAGTGAACCCAATATGTTATTGTAATCAAGTAATAACCTCTACCCCAATACATTTTATTTAAATTAAAAGAACCACATTTTGTCATTGACCATTCCAGTACAGACGACTATAACAATTTCCTCTGGGGAGCACACACTCATTTATAACCAGAAAATACATTATTTTGGTATTTTTCCACCTAGAAATTTTCAAATTTAACAACAAAATAATCGGTTGCTCCCCAGCGTGACGTAATACTGGAATGGTCAATAGAAATTGAAAAACAAAATTTTGTGAAACCCTTTCCTAGTGTACCTCTACGTAGTAAAAAGAAGATATCCCAAAAATTTCAAGCCTGTAGCTACTATAGTTTTTGCTGTACGTTGCTTATAAATCACTTGAATCAGTCAGGACATCTTTTTTTTTTTTATTTTTAACCATGGATCAACAACAAAACTTGACAAGGAAAAATGTAACAAGCTACTGCGCAGAAATATCTTGGCAAACAGAATGGTATACTACTGGAATAGACTCAAAAGTGAAACAACAATCAGTGCAACGTCTACAAACCAATTCAAACATCGTGTGAACCGGAAAATGGAAGATTGACACAGGTTGAACACGTGTGTCCATTACACAACATAACTGTGATGCTAAAAACCTGGTTGAGATGGAGTGGCTCTACGATCGATGTTCAAGCGCTTGAGATATGATGCAACAAACTGCGAATTACTGGGGAATCAATCCAGTGGTCACATCGAATTAAATTCGCCTACCGCTATAATAATAATAATTAAAAATTCCATGCTTTGGAAAACAAACAGCGTATGTACTGTGGGGAAATTTGTATGAAAATAAGCCAAGATTGCGCAAATTACGCTGCACAGCTATTTTCCGTCAGACAGAACGACGTCTAGTTGATGTTCTTGCATCTTTTTTCACTCTTGATTTAAAGCGGTCAAAACCTAGGGCTGTCAGTCTTCCTTCAGACATATCAAAGTAATCCCAAAAAATAATAACACTTTTGAATCTGAATTATTTCGTATTTAAGTTGTTAATTATAAAACTATTTAAACTGAAATTTTCATCCACACATCCACAATCAATTGTCACTATAAGGCCGGGTCCAGACTATGTAACAAACCATGTTAAATAACAAAGTTTTATAACTTGTTAGATATTTTTAAATACAAAAGTTATACAACACAGTGTTGTACAACATTTTGCTGGTTATATAGCATGTTTAATGTTATCCATCAGATGTCGGTAAAGATCAAAGAAAGTTATAGAAATTTGTTGTAAAACACGACCCCATGCAGTTGTCTACACTTGAAAATATGTTATTGAAACATTTCTCTTGCACTGAGCATCGGCGTTTGGCGTAGTCAATGAACTATAAACTACGGAATGGCCCGCCGATCTATAAAATTGAGGCAAATTGAGATGGAAAATGTCGGGGATACCTATCTGTATTTATCTTATTGGCGAATTATGGAAATCTTTCCTTGTCTAAAAAATATTATATTTGAAGTTAGGAATATACCAAACCTAACAGCAATGAACCAAAGAGAGAGAGAGGTATTCCCCACTATATAGCTATCTTTCGACACAAAAGAGAGATAAATTCCATATCCGACAACGGTCCGCGCCATTCCAAGTACGTGTTGTAGTTTATAGTTCATTGGGCGTAGTACGAGAACGAGACTAGCGAGAGCGAGAACCGACGGCGTCGCACCCCCATCCTATTTTCTTTGTCACTTTGTATCATCTAGAGTGATTTTGTTTTGCTGTGTTCACATGGAGTAATCCAAGCAATGGAATGGTCCATAGAACTGACCACTCATTTAATTGAGCTGTTTCGTGAGCAACGAGTACTATGGGATCCTACATCCTACTTCTGCTATATTATAACAAGTTTTCACAACTGTGTGTGTATGTTTTTTTTTTTAAGCTAGAAGTCAAAATGACATTGGGTCGTATGAATAAAGTGTAGCAAATGTTTTTACTCTGCCTCCATCTCTTTTTGCTGTATTAAACCTGGATATGTTTATCTCAAAAAATTTAAGTAAAAGCATTTGCTTCTGTTTTATTCATATGAGCCATTTTATGTTGGCAATACAATGTAAAATTGTCAATGCTTTCAAATTTTTTATATAGAAAAGGCTTCTGTTGCCAACATAATTACTGAATTTTTGACTTGGGGAATTGTCTTTAAAAAAAAAACAGACTTTACAACAAATTTGTTGTACTACTCTGTTGTCAACATGTATTGTTACATAGTCTGGACCTGGCTTAACAATACCACGAATGTTGGAAAGGCCCGGATGCTTTCAATATTTCACTTGATCAAATGAGCAAAACGATATTGTTAGCAACTTTGTTGTTCAATCTCCGAATTTAGGTGTCTAATACCGGGATCCCTGGATTTTAGAACCTATGACCGACCAATTTTCGAATCGGGCTTCGGTATCATACTTTGCAGCTAGATCTGCTTTCCAGTCTTAGCTGTTTTTGTAGAACTCAGATTGCGTATATTGCATGTTTGGTTTTTCTCTTTTTGCCATTGATATTCTATGAACATTCTCCATATGCCTTATTAAGCCGGTTGTGGATGACTGCTTACAAGACAATATTCTAGGGCACATGTGGCATTGGGCTGCTTCATCCTCACCTTCAACTCTCGTAAAATAATTCCAAACGCGTGAGAACTTAGGTCGTCTCATTTTTACTAGAACAAATTCCTATATTATTATCAGCTTTGAATGTAGGGACAGTTTAATTCACTTCAATCATACATAAAGTACGTACTGCTCGCTGGAATGAGTTATCGACCATTAACAAATTTTATAATAGTTATTTACATTACAATTGCGTTTATGAACATGATTACAATAACGAGTGTGAAAGATTAGAACGACGAGGTCGTAGACCGAGTCGTTCTAATCACACGAGTTTTGTAGTCATGTTTAA